TAGTCATGTAAGAAAATTGATGAAAATTTGCCCAAAGACAATCTACATTTAGTTGGGCAAGGTTATTGTTTATGATTATTGTATCAATCTATTNAATTATAAGACTTATATATATTTGTCAAAATAATTAATACAAGTTATAGAAATAAACTCAGTATGTTGCCCCTCATATCTGTATTTTTATTTATTTAAATTAACTTAAAATATCGACATCAACAAGGAACATCACAATTCATTCTATCTATCTACGAATCCATTTGGACATCAAGGTAAGTGTAGTCTTAAGACATGCACTATATTCATGTAATATTAAGAAATAGGACAGAGTGGATAAGAGGTAGGATTAAGATGATATGAATGAATCTAATACAATTCAAATAACTTATAATCCCTTTCCTACTATCTCTATCTTATCGCCTCCCCTTATTTTATTTTTATTACAAAGTGGCGACCAACTCGTGGCTTTGAATCTACTTCCCAAATACCGAGATCATTACAATATTTTTCTTCAATGTTCCTAATTTTTGTAATATAATATACATTACAAATGTCAGATTTAACGAAACAAAATCTTATATCAGTAGTAAAATATATGATCGGCATAGTAACTTTTCAAATAAAAAACAGAACAATTTCAACTCATCATCATTTAATGATATATCTAGCAGATATACTTTGGGTTTCTACTCTTCGCCTTAACATAAACGTACAAAATACGTTACTTATTCAAAAATTTATAAACACTTTTATAGATAATCGCACAATCTTTCCTATTACAGAAAGTATTATTTTAACTCATCTCACATTAATACTTGATTATTTATTTAAACATTCATCATATCAAATTTCACAAATTTTATTTAAAGACGAAAATATTTCATGCGTAAATCCTGAAACAGTTAAAAAATAATTTTATTCCCAATAATTTACTTAATACAAAATTTTATATAAATTTTATTTTTATTACTATCATTTCTTTTTTTTTAAACAATACTTAATTATAAAACTGTGTCATATTACTTCTAATTTAATTAATTACAAAAATACATTCATATATTTATTTGTATTAATTAATGTAATAAATGGAAGAATCCTCTACTGATTCAGATAAAATTGTTCAATACACTCAAAATTTAGCTTTGTGGATAAAAAAAGCCCCATATAATTCAATAGTAGAAGAATTAACTAAAAGAAAATTAAGAATCGACGGTTCAATAACTATTCTTAAAGACAGACTCCAACGTTTCCTTTTAGGCGAGTTTATAGAATCTGATTTTGAAGTTAATCATCAACCTCCCAAAAACATGAACGAGCGAATTCCATTTTGTCAACCTGACAAATTTTCTGGCGCGATTCACGAAAGCGTGGATGCCTTTTTAACTAAGTATAACAGAGCTAGCGATATAAATAATTGGTCACCCGATCAAAAGAAGTCATTCTTAGCTATTTATTTAACCGATACTGCTCTAATATTTTATGAAAATTATGAAAGGGAGAACCCCTCAGTAAAATGGCCTGACCTAGAAAACGCCATGCGTATTGAATTTGAACCCACTGCACAAAATCACATGCTTAGAATTATGCTCTCTAAACGTAAACAACTCCCAGATGAGTCCATTGCCTCTTTCATTAATGACACTGAAAAATTATGTAAGCGCGTAGATCCTAAAATGTCACAATCTGAGTTAGTACATAATATAATGAAAGGTTTACATCCAAAAATAGCTCGATATGTCGGTATATTAGACAACAATAGTTTAAAAGATTTAAAAGCTAATATAAGAAAATACGAATCCGTTGAATTTATGTTACAAGGGGATACTATACAATCGAAAGACGATATAAAACAGCGAATAACTAGCGAAAATATTTATCAAATCGGTGAGCAAAATAAAATGCAACAACAGTTAGATAATATAACTTCACAAATTTCTAAACTTCAGTTTTTTATTACAAAAAACAATAATGATAACACCGACAACAGCAAACGTTTATTTAATGGCACGCGGCAAGAATACTATAATACGCGTCGAAACAACAACAATTTACGTTCGGGAAATAATTATTTACGTCCAATATTTTATTCACGCCAAAATTATAACGATACTCGCGCAAATAATTATCAACAAAATAATACGCAATATGCTAATAGAAATTACAATAATAATTATAGTCCCAGAAATACATATGAGCGAAAGAATAATTGTATATATTGTAATCGCAATAATCACAAATCGGAAAATTGCAACTTGATCTGTGATTTATGTAATAAACGATATCATACAAGGGAGAATTGTTATCTCAACAAAAATTCTAACTACCAAAAAAACACGCGCCAAGGTCAAATGCAATAATTGGAGATTATATGCATTCACCTTCTTCTCCAATTCCTAATAAAAGTACTAACACTGACACAAACAACATTTTTATAATTCTAAATCGCGATAGAAAAGCTAATGCATTATATATTTTAGCTAAATTAAATAACGAACCAATAGAAGTCACAATAGATTCAGGTGCAAATATAAATTGTATAAAACCTGACATCATAGATTCATCTAATATAAATAAAAATCACAATTATAAATTATCCGGTGCAGATAAATCACCATTAAATTTATTGGGAACAACCACAATTAAATTAGAAATAGAAAATAAATTTTATCAAATACCAGTGTGCGTTATAGAAAATTTAAGTAGTACAATTATATTAGACAATGAATTTTTATCTCAACATAACGCAAATATAAATTATGCTAAAAAAGTCCTATTTTTAAACTAAATCGAAACCCCTATAATGAGTAGTAAATTTAAAAACACAATAGAAAATATAAAAAAAAACATGGATCATATAAAAAGCACCAACTGTTGTAAACAAAATAACAATATCAAAGAAACATTTATAGATATTATGAATATTCCCAATAATTACACCATAGCTTTATGTACATCTACTGACCTAAAATATAAATCTAAAATATTTGAAAATGTTACTAATAAATTTGGTAACATAACGGATTTGCTAAAAAATACTAACATATATTTAGGTCAAGTAAACACAATAATATCTGATAAAATAATACACTTATTAATAACAAAAGAGTTTTGCGATTCTCAGGCTTCATACCTAGATCTCTTCGAAAGTCTCTTTAATCTAAAAAATATTGCTTTAGAACAAAAGTTTCCTTTCATAGCATTTTCTTCCGTAGATTTAATTTGTGATGGCCTATATTGGGACACAATCAAAGACATAATATTTGAAATATTCCAAAATCAACCGATAGATATATTAATCTGTTACCCTATACTTTCAATACCTAAACACAATAATGACATTATATCTAACGTGCAATCTTCTATAAAAAACCTTAAGAAAAACATTAATTCTATTATTAATGATACTTCTACATCAAAATTTATGAATGTGTTTTCACAATATCAATTAGGGGAAGATGTTCCTTCTGACGGACGATGTGGAATTTATGCGTTAATAAATTCTTTGAACTCATATGGAAACCAAATAACAAATTTAGCTAAAATATGTAAATTATTAGATCTGGAAGAACTACCTAACTACTGGTGGCATGGCGATCAATTAGCAACGTTATCGANTGGCATGACGATCAATTAGCAACGTTATCAAATTTTTATGGCTTTGATTTGTACATCTATATAAAACATTCCAAATTAGGATATGTATATGGCCCTGGTGATAGGCAATTAATAGTTCTTTACCTTGTAAATGAAGGTACACACTGGATACCAGGTATACTAAAGAAAAACAATAAAAACATTTCTAAAATCCCCACTAATATTATACATACTACTAATTTTATATCTTTAGAATCAGTTAAACAAGACATTAAAACATATATAGCGCAAAATAAGACTCAAAAGCTAGATGTTAGCACAATTCTAGACAATAACAAAGAGCGTGTTTATAACTCCGAGGGTACAGAAATAAAAATATCACCACATTTAACAGTCGAACAGCATAACACACTTACAAATCTGATTAAGAATTATACACATTTATTCACTACCGATTTAAGCAAAGTACACCCAGCTAAGGTAAAACCATGTCAT